ATCCCAGTGTTTGGCTCTTTTATATTTAGCTTTGATTTACCATAGGGTTTTATTTTTTTATTTTTTTTGAGATAGGGTCTCATTCTGTCACCCCGGCTGGAGCGCAGTGGTGTGATCATAGCTCACTACAGCCCCAAACTCCTAGGCTCAAGCGATTCTCCTATCTCCGCTTCCTGAGTTAGCTGGAACAAGAAGTGTGAAACACCACATCCAACTAAGTTTTTTTTGTTGTTTTTGAGACAGTCTCGCTCTGTTGCCTAGGCTGGAGTGCAGTGGCGCAGTCTTGGTTTACTGCAACTTCCACCTCCTGGGTTCAAGCAGTTCTCTGCCTCAGCCTCCTGAGTAGCTAGGATTACAGGCGTCCGCCACCACACTTGGCTAATTTTTTTGTATTTTTAGTAGAGATGGGGTTTCACCATCTTGGCCAGGCTGGTCTTGAACTCCTGACCTCATGATCCACCCACCTCTGCCTCCCAGAGTGCTAGGATTATAGACGTGAGCCACCATGCCCAGCCTAATTTTTTTTTTTTTTAATGTTTCTGTAGAGACAGCATCTCTTCATGTTGCCCGGGCAGGTCTTGAACTCCTGGGCTCAAGCAATCCGCTCATCTCAGCCTCCTGAGTTAGCTGGAACCACAGGCATGAGCCATCACACCTGGCTAATTTTTTTTTAAATGTATTTTGAGAGACAGGGTCTTGCCATGTTGCCCAGGCTGGTCTTGAACTCCTGGACTCAAGTGGTCCTCTTGCCGCAGCCTCCCAAAGTGCTGGGTTACAGGCGTAAGCCACTGCATCCGGCCTGCCATAGAACTGAACTTGTACGATGTTAAATGTCCCTTTTTGTGGTTTGTGTGTTTCACATCCTTCCTAGAAAGGCCTTCCCCTCTAGTTGGTACCTTGCCTCCTCCTGAGACATCTCTGTTGGTCTCAGAGCCATCGTTGCTGGGCTTCCTTTACCCTGGCCCAGCACCCTTATCCCCTCAGGCAGTGTGTCTGTGTTTGTCAGGCTGGCTTATGGGGTGGGGACAGAAACCCACTGGTGCAGCCTCAGCCAGACTTTATTATTTATTTTTGAGGCAAACTCTTGCTTTGGTACCCAGGCTGGAGTGCAGTGACACGATTTCAGCTCACTGCACCCTCGACTCCTGAGTTCCAGCCTCCCAAGTAGCTGGGATTACAGGTGTGTGCCACCATGCCTGGCTAATTTTTTTAGTTTGAGTAGAGATGGGGTTTTACCATGTTGCCAAGGCTGGTCTGGAACTCCTAACCTCAAGCGATCCTCCCATCTCAGCCTCCCAAAGTGCTGGGATTACGGGCATGAGCCATCATGCCCAGTCGTATCCACACGTTAGGTGTGGAGAGGAATCACGGTTCTCACAGATGACGGCTTTTAGCAGCTGAAGGGGTTTCTCTTTCTGGTCTTCTGTCTCTTCCTTCCTTTTTGCCTGCTCGCTCTTCGTTGTTTCTCTCTGCAGATTTCTGCTTTCTGGGCTCTTGCCTGCCCACACTCGGGCCCTGTGCCAAGCCCTTTACTTCATGAGCTTATCTAGGCCTCACCACCATCCTGTGAGGTAGGTGTTACTATAACCCCCATTGTATAGATGAGGAAACTGAGGCTCGGGGAGGTAGTGGTCTCTCCCTCGAGGTCTCAGCCGAGCAGCTGTCCAGCCAAGATTTGAGTCTGGGTCTATCTAGCTTCCAACCCGCCCTCTTTGTTCATGGGAACCGGGAGAAGATATCTGACAAAATCTGGAGATGGGCCGGGCACGGGGGCTCAGGCCTGGAATCCCAGCACTTTCGGAGGCTGAGGCAGGTGGATCGCCTGAGGTCGGCGGTTTGAGACCAGCCTGGCCAATGTGGTGAAGACCGGTCTCTATTTAAAAAAAAAAAAAAAAAAAAAAAGTAAAAAGAAACAGTTGAAATTTTTTTTTTTTTTTGAGACAGAGTCTCGCTCTATCGTCAGGCTAGAGTGCAATGGCGCGATCTCGGCTCACTGCAACCTCCGCCTCCCGGGTTCAGGCAATTCTCCTGCCTCAGCCTCCTGAGTAGCTGGGATTACAGGCACGCGCCACCATGCCCAGCTAATGTTTTTTGTATTTTTAGTAGAGACGGGGTTTCACCACGTTGACCAGGATGGTCTCGATCTCTTGACCTCGTGATCCACCCGCCTCAGCCTCCCAAAGTGCTGGGATTACAGGCTTGAGCCACCGCGCCCGGCTAGAGTTCTACCTTTCTTACTGACCCCACATGCTCCCCTCAGATCCTGGTGGCTTTGAGACACCTTCACTTCAAGAACATCGTCCACTGCGACTTGAAACCAGAAAATGTGTTGCTGGCATCAGCTGACCCGTTTCCTCAGGTCAGTTATGTCCCCTCTTGATGTGGGAAAATCCAGGCAATACTGATGGCTGGGGTCGGGGTGGGGAGGGGGATTATACTAATCAAGATGTGGGGGCCAGGTACAGTGGCTCTTGCCTGTAATCAGCATTTCGGGAGGCTGAGACAGGAGGATCACTTGAGCCCAAGAGTTCAAGACCAGCCTGGGAAACAGAGGAGACCTCATCTGTACAAAAAATGAAAAAAATTAGCCGGGCGTGATGGCATACGCCTATAGTTCCAGCTACTTGGGAGGCTGAGGTGAGAGGACTGCTTGAGCCCAGGAGTTGGTGGCTGCAGTGAGCTATGATCGTGCCACTGCACTCCAGCCTGAGTGAC